GAGGTTTCCTCAGTAAAGGAAGTCTGGAACCTTAAATGGCACTACAGGTGCTCCAGAAGTGCCATTCAAGTGTCATTCCAAATGAAGGATCCATCCTTATACCAAGGATAGGAGTCAATGAGATGGATAGACTGCTGTTCTTAAGAGTACCATGACTTGTAGGACCAGACTGCAAAGAAACTGAAGTTCTGTTCTCATAGGTGAGTTCCATAACCCCTAATATCCATCAAATAGTTTGAGATTGTGTTTTACCCACTTCAAACTGGTGATAGTGAACTGTTGTACCAGGTAAAAGACTTTGAATTGATTTTTTAAAAAAACTTTTTTATCATATTATCAATGCATAGTATGTTGCAGTCAAACACATGATAGTAAGAAGAGGGGAAAATAACATAAGACATATATCTGTAAATAATAATAGTAACATAGCTTATTCCTCCAATTTAATTTTAACTCCCTTCTGTTCTTTCTTTGGTATCCTATCTGTCGTCTTTTTGACTGCTTTTTATTATTCCACTAAATTATTTTCATTACCTTACACTGTCCCACTTTGTCACATCTACTGCTGAGTATTTTTTTTCAGTCTGTTACACTTCATTTCTTGTTATACTATTTTTTTCTATATATTCTCTATATATGATGTCCAGTCCTCTTTTAAATTCTTATCATCTTTATTTCTTAATCTGTTTGTCATGCTGGCAAGTTCTATATATTCTAATATTTTAAGGTGCCATTCTTCTCTTGATGGTACTGCATCTGTTGTCCACTTTTGTGCTACTTTGAATGGAATTTGTGCCATTGACAGAAAAAGCTTCTGGCAGAAAACGTGAACTGCCAATTTGTCCTACTAAGTGTGGCCATGCATACACCAACACAACAGTGTTCATATCCATTGTGGGCTCTCTACAGATGCATTCTAATGAATGTATGTAGGTCAGGTATGGAACCTACTTACACAGTGCCACTTCCCTGGCATGTATTCATTTGATTTCACATGAAAATATGAAATAGGCTGCTTTATGAAAGACTGGGGTGTAAGCAACCTGAAGATGCAAACAGAGACTCCACATTTTCAAGTTTCATTACCAAAAATTAAGGGGACTTGACTTGCTGTGCAAAAAATAGGAACTTCCTTTTCATTATATTGGTTACAGGAAGACCACCAAAGTGAGCCATTCCAAGCCAGAAGAAAGATTTCTTTATCCTTGAGTGACAATGCTTGTAATCTGTGAAGCACCCACATAGTTCATTGATCTGTGCTTTATCCAGTACAAAGTGCTATATATTTAGTACAGAAGGAGATTGCTTGTAAAAATGTCAAGAACCCACAAGTCACTCTGATGTTATTTCACAGGACTTATTCCAAAGAAAGAAGGAAAGAAGGATCTTCATAAAGGTTAGGAGGTAGGGGCATCATGAATAGGGTGTCTTATTAATGTTTTTGAGCAATAAAAGTTCTAAAGAAAGGAATAAGAGGTGGGGTTTTTTTTAAAAGGAATGGGGTTTTATTATGCTTTTAAAGATTGCCAATATTTTAATCTGCACTAAGTAAGTAGTTTGGACAAACATACCAGCCATATGCAACAGGGGCAATGGGGTTATACTGTTCTGCCTTGCCCTTGGGCAGCATCCATGCCTATGGGCCCAAAGGACATCCACAAACTGGCATCATATTGATACAGCTGATGCATCAAGGTCTGAATCATTTAGCCAATTTCCAAAATGTATGTGGGTTGTTGATTATATCAATGAGCCTACACTTGTTGGATTTTTCACATGTAGCCTCTGTGCTAAGAAGGATGTAGGTACAAGGAGAAGCCTGCTAGAAGACCAGGCACCCCAGTAGAAGACAGGCACCCCCAGACTAGTGGGCAGGGTAGCACATCCCCTTTATCTGTAGCTGGTAAATACATGCAAACCAAGCCTAAGGATAGTCCTTGACTCGAGGGCTTGCAAATTGATATTAAAAAGGCATGTCATAAATTGGGGAAAAGGTCAGAGATGGATAATATGTTTGCAATGTAGGAAAGTGGGAATGAGTTTGCTGCAGGGGAATCTCAGGTTCACTTTTATTTTGCTCATTCAGTATCATTTGCCAAATTCAGAAATCTGTGGTATATCTAGAAGTTCCCTCTTATGAGGATTATATCCATGTTATGTCTAGTCACTGGTTTAGTTCATGGGTTGCCAATGTGGCAACTGCAGGCACACATATGCCCAGAGAGGCTTTTCCAGGGCCCACAGTCTCCCCTCTCACACTGAAATTAGCCTTGAAAGAAGCCTTCTTTGGTCATCAGAAAGCTTTTTCTTCAAGCCTAGTTGTGGTATGGAGTATTTTGTGAAGTTGCAGCCGGAGTGTGTGTGGTGTTCATAACAGTTGCTGTAGTTTGCTGACATGTCCATAGGACCAGAAAGGTTGGAGACCACTGATCCAAGCTCTAACTGTATTGCATTGTATCCCCTTTTAATAGCCTAATTGCGATGTAGTATTGTTTAGGGTTGCTAACAGATTTCTTTTTACCATGCTTCACTACAGCTCATCAGTTTTGTCTTCTTTGGGTCACCCTTCAACTTTAACTCTGACCTGACTTTCAACACACACTTAGATTTGTTACTAGCCTACTGTTCTAAGGCTGTGATCTAATTTGAAACCCATCAAACATGTGCAATATTAGGCTGCAAATCTTCTTTTCTCTCCATCTATTCCTTGGCTTTCAGTATTTACTATGGCCATTTTCTGCAGGATTACTCTGCTGTTTGATGGTTTTCAAGTTTAAACCATTTTGGAAGCAACGAGAAGAGAGCCAGATTGTATTCCTGTTTTCTCTATACAGTGGTACCCCGCAAGACGAACGCCTCGCAAGACGGAAAACCCGCTAGACGAAAGGGTTTTCCGTTTTGGAGGCGCTTCGCAAACGAATTTCCCTAAATTTCCTATGGGTCGAAAGCCCATAGGAAAATCTCCGGGACAGCGGGGAAGCGCAGCGCGTCTTCCCCACTGTCCTCGACCTCCTCCGAAGCCTGGCGGGGGGGGGGGGGATAAAGGGGGAAAAAATTATTCCCCCACCGCCAGGCGTGGGGCTGGGGTGGGGGAAGCCCGAGCTTCCCCCTCCCCCAGAATGGGACCCAGAGCCATGCCGAAGCTGCGTGCAGCTTTGGCATCGCTCTGGGAGCTTGCGGGGCTGGGGGAGGAGGAAGCCCTCCGCCAGCCTCCAAACCATGTCGGGAGACAGCGGGATGGCGCGCTGCGCCTCTCCCGCTGTCCCCCGAGTTTGCAGGGCTGGCGATGGGGAGGAGAGGCTTCTCCCCCCACCAGCCTTCCAGCCAAGTCGGGGGGCAGCGGCAAGGGCGCGCTGCGCCTCTCCCGCTGTCTCCCGAGTTTACGGGGCTGGCGATGGGGAGGAGCAGGCTTCTCCCCCCGCCAGCCTTCCAGCCAAGTCGGGGGGCAGCGGCAAGGGCGCGCTGCGCCTCTCCCGCTGTCCCCCGAGTTTGCGGGGCTGGCGATGGGGAGGAGCAGGCTTCTCCCCCTGCCAGCCTTCCAGCCAAGTCGGGGGGCAGCGGCAAGGGCGCGCTGCGCCTCTCCCACTGTCTCCCGAGTTTGCGGGGCTGGCGATGGGGAGGAGCAGGCTTCTCCCCCCGCCAGCCTTCCAGCCAAGTCGGGGGGCAGCGGGAAGGGCGTGCTGCGCCTCTCCCGCTGTCTCCCGAGTTTGCGGGGCTGGCGATGGGGAGGAGCAGGCTTCTCCCCCCGCCAGCCTTCCAGCCAAGTCGGGGGGCAGCGGCAAGGGCGCGCTGCGCCTCTCCCGCTGTCCCCCGAGTTTGCGGGGCTGGCGATGGGGAGGAGCAGGCTTCTCCCCCCGCCAGCCTTCCAGCCAAGTCGGGGGGCAGCGGCAAGGGCGCGCTGCGCCTCTCCCGCTGTCTCCCGAGTTTGCAGGGCTGGCAATGGGGAGGAGCAGGCTTCTCCCCCCGCCAGCCTTCCAGCCAAGTCGGGGGGCAGCGGGAAGGGCGCGCTGCGTTTCTCTGCTGTCCCGGACGGCTTTCAAAAGCCTGCCTTCAAAAGCCGTCCGGGACAGCGGAGAAACGCGCTGCCTTTCTCCGCTCTCCCGGGAAGGCAGGCAGGGGGGAGCAAAGGCTTTCGCCCCCGCCCGCCTTCAGAAGACTTCTGAAGGCGGGCGGGGGGCGAAAGTCCTTGCTCCCCCCTGCCTGCCTTCAAAAGCCATCCGGGACAGCGGAGAAACGCACTGCCTTTCTCCGCTCTCCCGGGAAGGCAGGCAGGGGGGAGCAAAGACTTTCGCCCCCGCCCACCTTCAGAAGAGGTCCAGGACCTCTTCTGAAGGCGGGCGGGGGGCGAAAATCTTTGTCCCCCCCTGCCTGCCTTCCCAGGGGCTTTTAAAACGCCCCGGACAGCAGAGAAGTCCTCCGCTGTCCCGGGCGATATTAAAATGCTGCCCGCCAGCATTTTAAGATTGCCCCGGACAGCGGAGAAGTCCTCCGCTGTCCCGGGGTTTTTTAAAATGCTGGGGGTGGGAAGAAAAGCCCTTGTCCCCCCCCAGCCTTCAGAAGAGGTCAGGGGACCTGGTCTGAAGGCGGTTTCCCTAGGAACGCATTAATTGATTTTCAATGCATTCCTATGGGAAACCGTGCATCGCAAGACGAAAAACTCGCAAGACGAAGAGACTTGCGGAACGAATTAATTTCGTCTTGCGAGGCACCACTGTACAAACAATAGCAGAAATAATTTAAGTTTTCATATGTATAGCAATAATGTAGCAATAAATAATGTCACAATATATTTCTGTATGATTTTTTAAAAATATACTCCCAGCCCCTTTTTTAAAAAAACAAAACACTGTACATTTGAATGTGTTGAAAACAATTAGCTAGATATACTGGGCATAATACTTCAAATCTCCAAATAAAATTTCTTCCCAACTCCAGGTTTGTTTGTTTTGTACCATACATGGCAAATACAGAGTTAAGGATACAAGGTGAATGGTACTTACTCCTGTTATGTAGCGAGGTCTATACTGGATGGTTCCAAATAAGCCAAGTATGACTATAATAATGTGTACAAAATTTGCCAGGATTGGTGCCCACTGATAACCAAGGAAATCAAATATCTGTCTCTCCAGCACACATACCTAGGATTAAACAGCAACAATGATTTGATTAGAATAGCTCATGAGAAAAAATAGTCAGAGGCTTTGGAAAGCATTTTCCCTCTTCACTTACCACCACTAGAAACATTGCCTCACTAGATATATGGCTCAGGAAGCAGGGGGGAAAGTTGGGATGACTTTGCAACAATTCACTCCTTTTGTTTTACTGTAAACAGCATTTCTGTGACAGTCCATTGAGTTATAATCCGATAGCAAAAATATTCACAAGGACAATTTTGCCAAGATATTATTCCCATTCAAGGAGATGCTTTAGTTGAAGCAGGTACAGCACGACTGCATCTGTCATTTATTACTGTTATTACTGACAGACTCTCTATCACCAGCTGGTTTGGAAGTCCAAGCCAAGCTAAAGACACAGCTGCCCCATCTTTCCCCTCTATTTGCACCAACTCATCCTTTCTCTTAGCCTTTGCTTCAGACCCATTCCTGAGGAAATTTCTCATTACCAAGAGATACCATATTTTTCACTCTATAAGACGCACCTAGTTTTTAGAGGAGGAAAACAAGAAACAAGAAAGCAACGCAAAGCCTCTTGAGCGAAGTCGCAGGAGCACTCCCGCTGCGCTCAAGAGGCTTTGCGTGGCTATCCCCGAAGCCTGAAGAGCAAGTGGGATCGCTGCGCACCGATCCCTCTTGCTCTTCTGGCTTTAGTGATAGCTGCGCAGCCTGCATTCGCTCCATAAGATGCACAGACATTTCCCTTACTTTTTAGGAGGGAAAAAGTGTGTCTTATAGAGCGAAAAATACGGTATGTGTGTATTGTTTAAACATGTATTTCTGACATAATAAAATGTAACAGATAATCCCAGAGAGGGGCAGAAAATGGTATATATCTCACATACAAATCTACCCTGTTGGAGCTACTTTCCATCACACTTTTCACCTTCTTGGGTTATTAAAAACTAGGCATAGAACCAGGGAATAAATCAATGTCATCATGGGACAGGACAAAATTCCATTCCATCCTGTTTCCATGTAGGTTGTTCAGGACAGGTTTCCAAAGTATATATCTGTTAAAATCTGCAGAGAAGTTTTTAAATGAAAAAACAAAGGGGGAAAATGTTTGTTTTATAAAATTTATATACTGCTTGGTTGTAAAACATTAACAACCCTCACACCACTTATGAGGTGGTCTAAGTTGTGAGCTCTCACAAGGTGATCTGGGGGCTGTCTGCCTAATCATGTTTTTAAGAAGCGATTTCATCCAGCTGTGTACAGCTAGCCTAAAAAGTGGTTTGTTGCCATGCAGATTGAAATCTGCTGGAAGTTACAGAATTTGATCACCTGCCATCGCTCTCAGGGGGAATCGTAAAATGCTTAAAATGTGTGTAAAGTACATACATCTTTTTACACACATTTTACTATTTTACATTGAATTCTCCCCTTGAGTCTTGAGGGGCATTAAATTTTAAAAAAATGTAAAATATGTCCAGTTCCCCTTAAGAGCAATGGTGCATCAATAAGACAAAAAGAAATGCTCTTTTTAAAATATGCTGCCCGATTTAACACTTTTCTTTTGCAGATCAAATCACAGCTGATGTAACTGCTGCATGATAGAAAAGGTGATTGGGGAGAAATTCCATTCAGTTCATATTTAAAGGTGAACCTCCTTCATCTGCAAGCAATAGACAGCCATCCCTTGAAATTCACACTTTTCTGAATTTTGCAATGGATTTCTCCAACCAAACAGTGTATACAAAAATCTATCTATTAAGGCAGGGGTGCACAATCTGTAGCCCTCCAGATGTTTCTGGACTACAACTCCCAGCCAGCATAGCTAGTGATCATGGATGATGGGAGTTGTAGTCCAACAACCATCTTGAGGTCCACAGGTTGCGCCCCCCTGTAGTAAGGTAAAACTTGCATATGATAGTGAAAATAATGTTTTAGGGAATATTGCTTTGCAATACTGTGTATTAGACAAAAGTGAATTAAAAACATGTGCTTATTAGGAGAAATTTGCACTAAAATGCATGGAGACTCTTTTAAAAAATAAATTAATTGCAGACTGGTGGAAATGTGGAGAACTCGAGGTTGGGGGAAAATGAGAACCTGAGAAAACCAAAACTGACAAATTTGCCCATCTCTAAGTTCAAAAAGTGTGCTTAATACATTCATCCTTGAAACGGCACTAAATTCTGAAAGAATCCAGAAACTGCTTTTCTGCAGAATGTCAAGCAATGCTCAATGCACTGATTTTGACCAATCAAATACTGTTTGTCAAATTTGACCAGTCAAATATTGGATGGAGAAATCAAGTCCCAACTCCATAACAGACAGCATCAATCCATCAGTGGGAGGTACAATTCAGCTATGAATGGACATTCACCAACATTCTACCTTCTATCTTATTTTCAGCTGCTCTGTATGGAAGGAACCTCTTATCCATACTGAGTAGGAGGGTGCTTGAAATGAAATTTATTCCAGGTCCAACACATATTGGAACAAATCATTCATTGAGGCTCTGTTTTTAGCAGCAATTATCACCAACTACATGGGGCACTGTAGTGGATCCTGTGGATTCTCTGAACTGATAAGAGAGAGAGGTGATGATTTCCTAATAATCTTGAGAAAACGCAGTGGTGGAGTGCTCCTAAGAGGGGCTCTTGCTTCAGACTGTATAAAAACATCTTCATGTGGCACTTTTGGACCCAACTGCAGAGTGCAGAATAAACACAAACATCACCATTTCTGAATGGATTACATGAGAATCAATTTTGGCTTTTGAGGGCAAATATTCAGCAGCAGACTGATAAGAATTAGTTCCCTCCGGAGAGTTTGATTGGTTATGTCCTTGAATGCCTTTCTAAATTAAAATAAAATCAGTAAACAAAATTAATTATTCTGGTGATACTTAATCTCAGGCCCCAATATTAACTTTTAAATTAACTAAGGTACCCGCATGACATAAATGCCTAATTCAATTGATCCATTGTCTCTTATGAGCAAGGTAGATATATTCACAGTGTATTTCTGGGCTGCTTCTTTTTTTTTGCTCGCCCCCCCTTACTTTTTAGAAGGAACATCTTCCCCATCTTCTTTCTTTGAAGTTTTTTGTGCTCTGAATTTATAGTCAAACGACATGATCAGCAATTCCACTTGATGTCTGTTGCTTGACTATGACTACATTCCTATACATGGTTACCTGAACTATATTCCATTGAACTCAATAGGGCTTACTTCTGAGTAGACATGAATAGATCTGCACTGTATATAACTTCAGAGGTTTGAGAGCAAACTTACAGCATATAGAAAAATCCAGTATAGCAATGAGAAGAGCTTTAGCCTAGTCTTCTCCAAAACACAGTAGTTATGTGAAAGGATGTTTATTATTACTATTTTGAATCAGGGAGCAACCAAGTCTTCAGTTCTCCAACTATAGTCTGATGTGGTGTTGTCTAACAGCTGATCATCATGTGAACTTGCTGATCATGTGCTTCACTTCTTAAACACAATTAATGCAGAAAAAAATTACAGTGACCATTGATCAAAATGTTTACATTTGTGGTTCACATTCCCATCCCAGAGATGTACTTTACTGAAGACATTTATTACAAGATTTATGATAATCAACTTAGAAATAACTGCTTATTTCAACAGTGTGTTATGACAGGGTGGAGAGATAAGCCTGTCACAACTGGTGTGGAGAAAGAGAGCAGGTAATAGTACCTTATTCACTTTTCCCACACTACTTATGACACATCTATTTTTCCACCCTCCTGCTCTCAGAGATGCCTTTTCTTCTAAGCTGAAAAGCCCTGAACATGCTAGAAATTCCTTCCAAATATTTTTTTTTCATGCTTCCAATTATTTTGATGGTCCTTCTTCTATGTATCTTTTATGGTTCAGTCATATCTTTCTATAGTAGGTATACAGCTTTCTTGGCATTCTTGAATGAGACAGCACATTTCCCCCTCACTTTCACAGTAAAGTAGAAAATTATTGGGTGGGGTTGATGGGGGTTAAGCCCTGCACCATACAGATAACTGGGCCTTTCTGTGATGACTTTTAAACACATTTCCCCAGACCAACATATTGTTCAAATCTCTGTATTTCATTCTGGTTGCTCAGTTTGCTCTCCTAATTTTTTGCATCCCCCCACTCCCACACAGTATTTTATAGACCAGTAATGTGCATATTGTATCTATTTTATTACCAAGGTTGTGAGGTAGAAATCTAATAGGAAAACAACATGGGTAAGTAAATAATGCATTGAGTTATTAAATTAAAAATGTATCCACTGACTTTAAGTTTTCAAGATGACAATTCCATAAGATTAAACTGGCTAGATGGTATGTATGCTGAGAGGAAAGTGGTTTTCCTAGTGGCTGCCAATTACTGCCCAAAATACACTTTCCTTTTTAAAATATACTACAATAAATGTGGGTACTAAGGATTTCTGAAGGTAAGGTTTGTCTGGTCACAATGTGCAGTGTTGTCATTGATGGAAACTTCACATGCTGAACTTTTCTGTATCTTGCATCACTTGTTGATCTCTCTTTGGACTGCTCTGTTTGGACTATCATATACCATTGGATTTGTTCTTAAGTTGCTATTTGTATTTATCCTATCTTTCTGGTGAACCTAGCAGAGTATGATTAGCCATGATTGTGGGAATGGGTTGTATGTTTAGGTATGAGGCAATGTTTTTAAAAGTACTCTTCCAAGGATGACTAATCTCTGTAATCACATGACCCTTAAAGGCAAAACAACAGTTTTCACTTCAGAAATGGAGAGTACTAAAATAGTCCTCAACAGAAAATTATAGCTGCAATCCTATACCTTTCTACCTGGCAGTAAATCCCATTCAACTCAATGGGACTTATTTCTAAGGAGACATGCACACAATCACACTAAGTTATTTTTCAGTTGCACTGTTGGAGGAATATAAAACAACTTTGCCAAAGGAAAGGAATCATGGGACATCTGTATAATGCATGGGTTGTGACAACTTACCGAGA